TTACCCAGGCTGGACTTGAACTCCCGAGCTCAAGCTATGCACCTGCCTTGACTTCCCAAAGTGCTGGGATTACAGGCATGAACCACTGTGTCTGACCAGTTTTAACTTTTATAAGGTAATGATTGATAGATATAACCCAAATAAATGAAAACTGTTTGCAGTCCTCAAAATGTTGAAGAGTTACAAAGGGGTTCTGAGAACAAAATGTGTGTAAACCACTGGCTCAGAGACTGAGTCTAAGCTGGTCGAATTAGATTATTTCATACCATGGAGGAAAAAAACAGATGAGACAAAGAGAGCTCATTAGCAAAATGCTGAAACTAAGTTTGAGATCCTGGATATTTACACATTCATTCATTCAAACATTTATGAAGTCCTACTATGTGCCAGGCCCTAGGCCAAGTGCTGAGGGTTTTGAAATAACTGAGACAAGGCCGGGCAAGGTGACTCACGCCTGTGGCTCAGCATTTTGGGAGGCCAAGGCGGGCATATCACCTGAGGTCGGGAGTTTGAGACCAGCCTGACCAACGTGGAGAAACCTTATCTCTACTAAAAATACAAAATTAGCCAGGCGTGGTGGCACATGCCCATAATCCTAGCTACTTGGGAGGCTGAGGCAGGAGAATTGCTTGAACCCAGGAGGCAGAGTTTGCAATGAGCTGAAATCGTGCCATTGCACGCCAGCCTGAGCAATAAGAGCAAGACTCCGTCTCAAAAAAAAAAAAAAAAAAAAAGGAAAGAAATACCTGAGACACATCTTCTGCCTTCAAGGAGTAAGGAAGGTTGACATGTAAACAAACAGTGACATAGACTGTGATGAGCGCTACAGTGGAGGGTGCACTGGGACCATGGTAAGAACTGGGAGACAAAGTGGGCAGGGAGATCTGGGAAATCTTGAAGGTCCCAGAGACAGGTATCATTCATGTCTGGGGAAGCCCAGACATTGCCATTTGCTTGCCTACTTATTTTAACAGTGCTAAAACTGTTTTTAACTGTTTTTAAGTCATTGCCAGGGAGGCCCAAAGTCATTGCCATTTGCTTGCTTGCTTGTTAGTTTTAATAGTGCTGGCTGTCAGCCTGAAGGAGGCAGGGGATGGAGGAGGTAGCACCAGCCAACTAAGGCCTCAGGCTATGAATATGCAAGAGTTTTGCCATAGTCAGAGTCTCAAAGGGCAAGTAAGAGGAAAAAGGTGTAAACCAGTATTTCTCCTCATTCCATTACAACATAATTCTACCCCCTTTCCCCTACAAGGAAAATCAGATTGGGAATATATTTATTAATTTTTTACTTAATACATAGTCCTTGTTTTTAAAAAGTCAGATAACATAGAGAATGTAAAAATCCCTCTTCATTCTCAGCAAACTAACACAGGAACAGAAAACCAAACACCACATGTTCTCACTCATAAGTGGGAGTTGAACAATGAGAACACATGGACACACGGAGGGGAACATCACACACCCTGGGGCCTGTGGCAGGAGGGTGAGGGACAAGGGGAGGGAGAGGATTAGGACAAATATCTAAAGCACGCGGGTCTTAAAACCTAGATGACGAGTCAATATGTGCAGCAAACCACCATGGCACATGTATACCTATGTAAAAAACCTGCACGTTCTGCACATGTACCCCAGAGCTTAAAGTAAAGTAAAATAAAACAAAATAAAAAATCCCTCCCAGTAATCACTGTTCCTAGTTTGGTATATAATCATTTCAACTGTTTTCTCTCTCTCTCCCTCCCTTCCTTCCTTTCTTCCTTCCTTCCTTCTTCCCTTCCCTTCCCTTTCCTTCCTTCGTTCGTTCGTTCGTTCGTTCCTTCCTTCCTCCCTTCCTTCCTCCCTCCCTCCCTCCCTCCCTCCCTCCCTTCCTTCCTTCCTTCTTTCCTTCCTTCCTTCCTTCCTTCTTTCTTTTCTGCCTTAGCCTCCGGAGTAGCTGAGACTACAGGCTCACGCCAACACGCCTGGCTAACTTTTGTATTTTTAGTAGAGATGGGATTTCACCATGTTGGCCACGCTGGTCTCAAACTCCTGACCTCGGGTGATCCACCCACCTCAGCCTCCCGAAGTGCTGGGATTACAGACGAGCCAGTGCACCCGGCCCATTTCAATTGTTTTCTAGACACATATAAATATACATGAATTTTAGATAAAGAAGCTTCTGTTGGTTTACACTAGAAGGATGTGTAAAGTCAACAGCAATGCAGTCTGTGAGGTGGAATGTCCGCTGATTGTGATAAATGTAGTGTAAGAGGCTCCCCTAAAGTGCTGATGGCTATAATGGCAATAAAGTCAGTGAAGGAGGTGCTCTGGATGCACTTTGTGAAAGACAAATCACACTTCAGAATAACTCTAAGGCCCTGCCAGCTTGCAGCGAAGCCCAGGATCAGGAACAGTGCCTCTTGCTGGATACTTCTGGATCCTGGACTGGCTCTCCCCGTGCCTGCTTCCTTGTCTCTCTTCTCTCTCCCCAGGCACTGGTCCGCTTTGCTTTCTTCTCCCCTACCTCTGCCCACAGCTTTTGACTCCTCCTGTTTTCTCCCTGGTCCTCTGTCTCACAGGCTTTTCCATGTCTTCCTGTTCCAGACACAAGCCTATGGCTTCTTGAGATTTTTTTTTAAAGGGCTCTCCCTGCTGGGAACCCCAGGGAATCACATTTTCCACTTTTGGTTCTTGAACCCCAGGAAAAGTTTGATAAAGGTGTTTCAGGAAGTTCATGACCTTCCAAGTGGTTATAACATAGTTTCTGTTTAAATTATTTACAGGCAAGGCATGGTGGTTCATGCCTGTAATCCCAGCAGTCTGTGGGAGGATTGCTTGTGTCCAGGAGTTTAAGAGCAGCCTGGGCAACATAGAAACCCTATCTCTATTATTAACATGAAAAAATTACATATATAAAAATTGTTTATAAATCAAGCAACTATTAACTACTTAAATATGATTTCCCTTTATATGGAACCGTTTGAGAGCCTCCTGTGGTGTACTGAGTGAGAAAGCCCTTGGTGAAGAAGGTGGTTCTCTCTCTGGGGTGACCAACGCTGTCTGCATAGAGTCTTCTTGGATGGCCTTTATTTTGCAACACTTCAAAAAACAATGATGAGTTATTGATTGGTTATTGAACCAATGCCAATAATCAATTCTCTCTGGAGTTACTGGGTCTATTGAGGGTAGATAGATATAACTCAAATAAATGAAAACTGTTTGCACTCCTCAAAATGTTGAGGGTAGGCCCAGTAACTCTAGAGAGAACCGATTATTGGTATTGGATGAACATATGGTTCGATCATGGTATTGATTATCCTGTAATCCTTACAGAATCTTATTGATTCAGGTAGCTTATACTGCACAATTACAGGTAAAAGCCAGGACTTCTATGTAATAAAATCACTCGTTACCAACTCTATTAACTTAGTTACTGCTCCCTTATCATTTGTTAAGACAGTGCATGAAATTGGCAATCCAATTGGGGTGACCCCTTACATATATAATCACTAGGTTTTTCCTGCCTGGTTTGCCACCTTTTCTGGGTCCATGTGTTCAAAGACTCCAGCTTGGGCACCTTTTAACAAGGGCCACTCTTCTCGTGGTTTCTAGCACTAAATACATTTTTTTTTTTTTTTTTTTGGTTCAGCTAGATTTAGGCAGCAAAAAGTCTCCGGGTCTCAGCACTAGTATACTCTCTGTAGCTTTAGTTTTTCCAAAATGACCAGTCTCTGGGAGATCTTGAGCAAACTAGCTCAAAGAAGCACTGTAAGAGCAAGTGCAACTCTTCCTCTGTTACCTTCTACAGGAGCATGTGGAATCACCGCTGCCTTATCAGCCAGGAAAATCCCTATATCAAGACAGGCCTTTTATGTTTTACTACAGTTGGTGTCTTCAGCTCTTTTGAAACAGGGTGCCCTCCTTCGCAGAGACCATAGCTACAGAAGTCTTACCTTATCTCTTATGACATTAACTGAAGTTCATGCTATGTCAGGAGGTTTCTGGGCCACACAGAGGCAATGCTATCTAGGGGGCAGTATTTTTCCAGGATGACTCTAAAGAAGACTCTTCATCTTCCTTAGGACTGTTGACTTCCTGGTTTGATTGCTGTCTTTGTAAACTCTTTACGCAGTTCTGACACCACATGAGAACTTACAAGCCATCAACTAAAGCCATACTGAATCCATGAGAATCAATTGCTTTGTTTTCCCTTGATTCTGCATTCAGAATGGAATAGAACAGGGAAGTTCCAGCAGCCTCCTTGTTTCATCGCCTTATGCCCTGGCCCCTACTCCTATCTCCAGCCTTCTAGGTATCTGATTTCAGTGTTCCATCCCCTGAGATAATCTATTATATTGATTCAGCATGGACAAGTATGTATAGGTCTATTCTTCCAGCTGGGCTAAGATCTCAGAGCTACTAGAAACTTCAGGGGGATCACTAACAAGGTCTTGGATTCATTTCCGTTTTTCCAGAGTAATCATCCTCAGTCTGATTGTTTTTCCTTCAACAGCAACTCATAAAACCTTTTGGCTCTGAATCTAATTTCCTAAGAAGAAACTGGCCATGTGTCATAGGTTCTCTAGAACCACAATCTTCTGAACCTAAGCCATAAAAAGCTTAATAATGCTCATAGACTTCATTACTGAAGCAGATGTGAGTGAATCTAGTTCTCTCAGTTGTAGTCTCTGTAGACACACTGATATGAAATGCATGGTTTCAACAACCTTCAGTGCATACCCTGAGGTTCTAACCCTTCCCTCGTTTCCAGGTTCCTACTTTCCCCTGTCTACCCTCTGTCTTAAGACACATGAAGTATTTGGATTCCAACTTGGAATGACCCAGTAACGTTCACCAGAATGTGTGGTGGGATAGTAGCAAAGATAATGGAAGGAGGAATTGCCCAAGAGGAGGAAGGAGGAGGAGGAGAACAATAAAAGACTTTTTTTTTTTTCAGGAGGGAACTTTCTACTCCAAAAAGGAATAAGGGTCTGTGTACCCAGTAAATGGTTTTAACCAAGAAATCTGATTAGACTTGACTTTATTAGGATAGAAAGTTTGTGCTGTTTGTTGACATCAGCTCTATGTTTTTCCCCTCTAACAGCAAAAAGCCCCAAATTTTTATGTTAATTTTCTTGGAAAGACTTCTTTTGGAAAATATCCATCTGGCATGGGTATATTCATACAAGTATATGTTGGGATATTGATTTACCTGCAAGAACAAGAACAAAATAACAGTGGCTTAAATAAGATTGAAGTCCATTTCTTTCTCACATAACAGTCTGGGCCATAAGAAGCCCTGGACTAATGTGGAGCTTCGGAAGTGACTCCTTCTACCTTTCTACTTTGTCATCCTCAACATATGGCTTCCTTTTTTTGTTTGTTTGTTTTTTGAGATGAAGTCTCACTCTGTTGCCCAGGCTTGAGTACAGTGGTGTGATCTCGGTTCACTGTGATCTCTGCTTCATGGGCTCAAGCGATTCTCCTCCCTCAGCCTCCTTAGTACCTGGGATTACAGGTTCATGCCACCCTGCCTGGCCTAATTTTTGTATTTTTAGTAGAGATGGTGTTTCACCATGTTGGTCAGGCTGATCTCGAACTCCTGACCTCAAGTGATCCTCCTGCCTGAGCCTCCGAAAGTGCTGGGATTACAGGTGCGAGCCACTGTACCCAGCCTTCAACGCATGGCTTCTATCTTATGCTTCAGCTGCTGCTCTTCTGTCCATGCTTCGGCTAGCAAGAAGGAGGAAAGTAAAAAGGGAAGGCATGTTCCTTCCTTTAAGGACATGAGCCGGAAGTTGTAAGCGGAAGTATATCACTCCACTCACATTTCACTGGCCGGAACTTAATTAAATGGTCACCAGGCCTAGCTTCTAAGGTAGGCTGGGTGATGTGGTGTTTAGTGGGACAGCAACGTGCTCCAAATATAATTGCATTATTATGTAAAAAGAGGGGAAAGGTTTTGGGGAATAACTAGCAGTCTGTGCCAGTTAAGGTGGGGAGGAATCTTGCCCATAGTTTGGCGCTGGGGGAAACAACAGTTAATGGAACCTGGAGAAATCAAGGCATTAATTGAAAAATCTGCTGGAGACAAAATCATTAGGGAGTTGGATGAGAGGTGATTCTTTTCTAAAAGGAGTGGATGTTAAAGTGCATAGCTAAGCTATTGTGAAACTATTACCAGAGGCTGTTGAGAAGGCATAAGAAGGGATCATTTCATGACATTGTATTGTATTTCACAAGAAAGTGAACAACCCTATAGGGATAACCACAGACCTCTCCTCACCCCAAATTATTTATATGATCAAAGCCAAGCTGGATCTAGTGTGCCAAGATACAGATAGAGATGTTTCAGAGAACTTCTCAGCAAGATATGGGATGAGGGGCTCAAGAAGAGGCCATCAGAGGAGCTGCAGGACAAATTTAGAGAATTGATAAGGGCCCAAGGAACTTCCAACTCTTCAACAGTTGGAGGATTGACGGAACAGTGGAGGCTCTATCTGAACAATGACTGTCAGGGGAGGGATTATGGGTGGAAGACATCCCCAGATTTCTAGAGAAGCATCCTTACTGCTTCTCTTCAGAGCTATCCAGCTTAGGAAGGAGCAGTTGACTTTTGAGTGTCAAAAAAAGTGTATATATAATAGTTCCTTTATGTGTTCCACTAGTATAGACACATAAAGGAACTATATACACTTGCTGGCAGATGCACCCCAGCCCTCTGATAGTCTTTGTCAATAAGTTGAGGGAAGGGATCCCATTCCTTCCCAAGGAGAGTATTGTTGGAAAAGGACAACTGTGTTCCATCACATATCACATATTAGGGGCAGGGAAGAAGCTCAGTAGCATACGATGGCCTATATATGGCAATCACCTGGGAAAGGAGATGTACAAAGTTGCCGACTGAAGTCAGCACTGGTGACTTCTTACTGCTCTGAGCTGGGCAGGTCTTCCAGCAGTTCAAAAGAAAGCACGAAAATATTCAGTCTCTACTGTAAACATAGGAGTGGATAAAATTTGGTTATTACCCAAGCTCATGATGTTAATGATTAATAATAATTATTAGTCATACTTCTTCAGTAACAATACATTTATGCCCCACCTATGTCTAAAAGGGATCAGAGCTTATGTTAAAAAGTGCAGATACAGTGAAATATAGCCTGTTAGAACTACAATAAAACCTACTTAGCAAAAGAAGTGGGAAAAAGTTAGGAGAGGAAAAAAACGTGTACCAGAACACTCAAGATTAAACAAGAGTACTGCAAATGATAACAAAGCCTGAGGTTCCTAGTGGCCAAAGCAAAGAAGAAAACACAAATAGGTTTCATAGTTCTCATTGCTGAGTAAGAAAAAAGCACACCAGGTTAATAAGGAGGTGCTAACTCTGGGAACAATTGGTCTTGTTGGTTTTTATATAAGGAGTATGGAATATCACAAATGATAAAAGCAATGTTAAAAATTGGAGCTTCTGGCCAGGCACAGTGGCTCACGCCTGTAATCCTAGCACTTTGGGAGGCTAAGGAGGGCAGATTACCTGAGCTCAGGAGTTCGAGACCAGCCTGGGCAACATGGTGAAACCCTGTCTCTACTAAAAATACAAAAAATTAGTTGGGAGGGGTGTCCCATGCCTGTAGTCCCAACTGTTTGGGAGGCTGAGGCAGGAGAATTGCTTGAACCTGGGAGGTGGAGGCTGCAGTGAGCCGAGATTGCGCCACTGCACTCCAGCCTGGGCGACAGAGTGAGACTCTGTCTCCAAAAAAAAAAAAAAAAAAAAATATTGGAGCTACTTTTCATTTGACTTTTTTTGTATCTGCCTTTCTTAAAATTCACATTAAATACTCATTTTATAAGGGCAATTTTAGGAGTGAGGTGTGTGTGTGTGTGTGCCTGCACACACATATGTAAATGTATATGTGCGTGTGTGTGTGTATATAATATACATTTTTCATGGTATTTTAGAGATCTTGGTTTACCCAGAAATAAACCTTGAAGAGCCTGAGGACTTAATGATAGGCATGTTTTTAGAATATCATCATCAGTTGACTTGCTCAGCAAGCTCCTTTTAATACAGGATAAGAATATATTTTAATTAATGTAGGCTTTGGCATCCATTGCTCTCTTTTGTTGCTGCTGTTGTTCCTGTTTGGTTTTTGTTTGAGACAGGGTCTTGTTCTGTCACCCAGACTGGAGTGCGGTGGCACGTACACAGCTCATTGCAGCTTCAGCCTCCTGGGCTCAAGCACCCTCCTGCCTCAGCCTCCCCGAGTAGCTGGGGCTATAGATGTGTGCCACCACATCCAGCTAATTTTTTTTCTTTTTGTAGAAATGGGATCTCACCATGTTGCCCAGGGTGGTGTTGAACTCCTGTACTCAAGCAATCCTTCCACCTTGGCCTCCCAAATTTCTGAGATTACAGGTGTGAGCCACTGCGCTGGGCTCACTGCCCTCTTTTCTAGCTCTCTTTTCCTCAGAAATAGTGCAACCTTTTTGGAAATGTTATGGTTGCCATGTAAGTAAGGACTATGTTACAATGAAGGACAACCCAACAAAAACTGGCTTAAGCCATAATGGGATTTATTGTCTGGGTAACGAAAGTTCGAAGAAGGGCAGGGTTCAGGGCTGATCAAGCTAGTGGCTTAATGACATTGTCAAGGATCTGTCTGTTTCTGTTACTCAGTTTTGCCAGGGGCACAATCAGTTTCATCCTAAGGCTGACTCTTCTGGGGCTTTCTCATTCACATCTAGTAGAAAAGAGAAGATCCCCAAAGGTTCCAGAAATCTCTCTTTATGACTCCTTGGCCTGAAATGGGTTACAAGGTCATCCCTGAACCTGTAATTGTGCTAAGGGAGGAGTCTTTGTGGATTTGCTCTGACCTGAACTGCTTGTCCAAGTCCTATAGCCAGGGTTGGATTTAGCTTCTGCCAACATATCTGAGATGATCCGAAGAGGTGTGATACCTCAAACAAAATCATGGTATTAGCCAGGAAAGGAGGGAACAGATCTTAATGAAGTAATAGCAAAGTCAGTACAGCATCCAGCACCTGGAAATTTCAGCCTACAACTTGGAAACACACAGACGAAAATTTTTTTAATGATTTTATAATTTTTATATTCTTTTACTATTATTATAGCATTAAAAACTCCATGAGAATGAAAAGAAAGAAAATCCAGCTATTATACCACTGGTTTTTAAAAAGTCGGTTTTTCCTTCAAGTTTTTACACTTAGTGTGTTTTTAAAAAATTTTCATTGTATGGATACAATCATTGTATGGATTCAGTCTCTACTGTAAACATAAGAGTGGATAAAATTTGGTTATTACCCAAGCATTGTTTTTGTTACCATTTTAATGACTGTATCATATTCCATTAAGTGACTCAGTGATCTCATACTTTACTTAATAATTGTCTCTGTAAGATTTTTGGGTTGTTTGCAATTTTTTTTGACATTATAAATAACCCAGGTATCATTTTTGTGCATGTGACTTTTTCCTTCCTTGGGACTTATCTACGTCAGAATATGGTTCCTGATACAGATTGAGATACTGTTATTCGTTTTATACCAGAATGGAAGCTTCTTCCAAGACAGCGATCTTTTGAGTTTAACAAGTGCTTTTGCAATTCACCTTCAGACTCAGATATTAAACTCTCAAAACAGAGTTTGCTTATAAGGACATCTTATAGACTTGCACAATCCTAACTATTTGGATGGAATTTTGAAAGGAGAGTCAGAATCCTTAATCAGAAGGATTCAGGGGGTTAGGGTGATAGCATGATATATTAGTGTAGTATAGAATAGTGGTTAAATCATGGTTTTTGGAGTAAGGCAGACTTGAGTTTGAATCCAAGTTATATTAATACTTGCTTGCTGTATTATCTTTTGACAAGTTATTTAATACCACTCTGGGGCCTGGCACAGTGACTCATGCCTGTAATCCCATACTTTGGGAGGCCAAAGTGGGTGGATCACCTGAGGTCAGGAGTTTGAGACTAGCCTGGTCAACGTGGTGAAGCCCATCTCTACTAAAAATACAAAAATTAGCCAGGTGTAGTGGTGCATGCCTATAATCCTAGCTACTTGGGAGGCTGAGGCAGGAGAATTGCTTCAACCTGGAAGGCGGAGGTTGCAGTGAGCCGAGATGGTGTCATTGCACTCCAGCCTGGGCAACAAGAGTGAGACTCCATCTCAAAAAAAAAAAAAAAAAAAAAAAGCAACATTCTAAATCTGACTTATCTGCATAAAATGGAGATGGTAATTGCTATTTTATTGGTATTTTTTAGGATCCTGGGAGAAAATGTATATAAAGCCTGGTGAATAATGTATCAATAATGGTGGTGGTTGTTATTATTGAACAATTGTGAATTTGATCTGAGGCCAAGATTAAGAAGCATGATATAGTGTGTGCAGAAGAATTTAATTTCTGTCCAAGAAAAAAAAATCGGATACTCTCTATATTTGACATGAAACCATCACCTAGTCTCTGAATCCCCTTCACACATTCTCATGTAGTTATCATCCAGTCTCCAAAGATCTCCTGGAATGAGCCCATTTCTGCCTCAAAATGGTAGTGACATATTGACATACTGGCATTTGACATACTGAGTCAAATCCTGACTCATTCCCCCCTCTGGTCTAGTGTCACCTTATGAAATACAAAGGGCAATTGCACTCTTTCACTGTATCTTACAGGAAGGAGCTGGGAAGGCCAGCCCTAGAACCCCCTCCATGTGAGCCTCAGATGATCCTCAGCTGACAATCCTTTGCTGACACTCCCAGTGGTGAAAAGGATGTTTGTGAAGTGGCCCATTTCATAATTGAAAGCACTAGTGGTGAAGAAGGACTGCCTTTTATGTAGCTTAAGTTTCTCCCCTAAAACTTATTATTTTTTTATTTTTTCAGACAGGGTCTCACTCTGTTGCCCAGGCTGGAATGCAGTGTCATGATCATTGCTTACTGCAACCTCAACCTCCAGGGCTCAAGCGATCCTCCCACCTCAGCCTCCCAAGTAGCTGGGATCACAGGTGCCCACCACCATGCCTGGCTAATTTTAAAATTTTTTTGTAGAGACAAGGTCTCCCTGTTTTGCCTATGCTGCTGTATGAATTCCCGGGCTCAAGTGCTCCTCAAGTCTTGGCCTCCTAAAGTGTTAGGATTACAGAAATGAGCCACTGCACCTGGCCACCCTCTGTAACTTCTATCTCTTGGGACAATTCTGGGAGTGATACACAATCGGTCTACTATGGAGGCAGACAGATTTGCATTTTAATCCTGGCTCCATTAGTTGTTTTCCTTTGGGCAAGTTACTTAAACCCTCCAAAACTGGAAAGCATGGATAATATTGGCACCCACCACATAAGGCTATAGTAGGATTAAATGAAATAAGCATGTCAAGCACTTAACACAGGACACATAATAGGTGTTTTGAGGCAATAGGTGTCTAGTCTTGTCATTTCTTTCTCCTGATTTGGAGAAGGGTGATGATGAAATGGATACATCGAGCCTCTGTCCGATTCAGAAATCTTTGAACCAGGTGTTCCAGTTAAACAGGCTGGTTCTTGACTGTAGAGTCAAACTATGATACTTATTACCTGAAGAGAATAGAAACTAGTGGGGATGTAGGGGGAGGGAAACACCAGGAAATATCATCAAGTTATTTTCTCTTTCTTTTTCTTTCTTTCTTTCTTTCCTTCTTTCTTTCTTCCTTCCTTCCTTCCTTCCTTCCTTTCTTTCTCTCTTTCTTTCTTTTTCTTTCTTTCTTTCTTTCCTTCCTTCCTTTCTCTTTCTTTCCTTCCTTCCTTCCTTCTTTCCTGCCTTTCTTTCTCTTTCTTTCTTTCTTTCTTTCTTTCTTTCTTTCTTTCTTTCTTTCTTTCTTTCTTTCTTTCTTTCTCTCTCTCTCTCTCTCCCTCTCTTTCTTTCTTTTCTTCTTTTTCTTCTTTTCTTTCTCTCTTTCTCTCTTTCTTTTTTTTTTTTTTTTGACAGGGTCTCACTCTGT